AAATATATACTGTCTACAGTGTTTTTGTAGCTATAATGTAATATTTAATTAGTCATAGCTAAGTGCTTAAGAAGAGACCTCACCATCGTGATGGGAGATCTAAATGCTAAAGTTGGAGTGGACAACACAGGATATGAGGATATAATGAGACGACATGGACTGGGAGAGAGAAAAGAAAATGGTGAGAGATTTGCAAATCTATGTGCGTTCAACAAATTGGTTATATGCGGCACAATATTCCCCAAAAAACACATACACAAAGCTATATAGATTCCACCGAATAACAATACACAGAACCAGGACGATTATTTTTGCATCAGTAAAAAATTCAGAAGGACATTGCAAGACGTGAGAACCAGGTTAGAGGCTAGCATAGCATCAGATCATCACCTGGTTGTGACCGGGATGAAACGTAGGCTGAAGGAACACTGAACAACTGGGAGAACAGCATTACAAAGGTTCAATACAGCCTTCCTTCGAGATGCTAACAAACTCAACGAACTTAGGATAACTCTCAACAAGAGGTTCCAAGCTCTACAGGATCTACTGAAAGAACAAGAAACTACTTTGGAGGATAACTGGAAAGGGATAAAAGAAGCACTAACTTCAGCGTGTGAGGAGGTTCTGGGTCCTAAGAAGCATCATCATAAGAAATGAATCTTTATAAGAGCCCTGAACAAGATTGAAAAAAGAAAGAACAAAAGAACAGCAATGGGCAACAGTCGAACACGAGCAGAGGAAGTCAAGGCACAAGCAGAGTGCGCAGAAGCAAACAAGAAAGTGAAGAAGAGAATTAGAGCTGACAGGCAGAAATACATGGGAGAACTGGCAATGACAGAGGAAAATGCTGTAAGAAAAGGAAATATGAAACAACCATGTGACACAACGAAGAAACTGGCAGGGAGACATAGTAGACCGGAGAGACCAATCAAGGACAAAGAAGGCAAGACAATCACAGAGATTGAAGAACAGAGGAAAAGATGGGCAGAATACTTCGAGGAACTGTTGAATAAACCAGCTCCATTGAATCCACCACAAATAGAAGCAGACAAATCAAGAGCGGGAAAGCGACAGGACGTGACTATATACCAGCTGAAGCACTGAAGTCGGATATTGAAATAACTGCAAACATGCTTCACCTTCTGTTCAAGAAGATTCGGGAGGATGAACAAGTGCCAACGAACTGAATAGAATGATACCTTATCAAGATACTAAAGAAAGGAGATCTGAGCAAATGTAAGAACTACAGAGGTACCACACTGTTATCAGTACCAGGAAAGGTTTTCAACAGAATGTAGCTGAACCGGATGAAAGACGCAGTAAACACCCAACTTCGAAAACAACAGGCTGGATTCCGTAAGGATAGGTTGTACACAGACCGAATCGCGACACTAAAGATGATCGTGGGACAATCAGTTGAGTGGAATTAATCACTATACATCAAGTTCACTGACAATGAGGAAGCGTTTGACAATGTGGACCGGAGAACTCTATGTAACCTTCTTCGACATTATAGTATTCCTGAGAAGATTGTCAACATCATCCGGAAATCATACGACGGACTACATTGCATAATCGTACATGGAAGACAGCTGACAGATGCATTTGCAGTAAGGACCGGAAACAGACAAGAATGTCTACCCTACCGCTTCCTCTTTCTTTTGGTGATTGACTGGATTATGAAGAATTCGACATCTGAGGGGAAATACAGAATACGATGGACTTCTCAGAATCAATTAGACGATTCGGAATTCGCAGATTACTTAGCCCTCCTCTCTCATACACACGAACAAATGCAGATGAAGACAGCAAATGTAGCATCAGCCTCTGCATCAATAGGCCTCAACATACACAGGGAAAAAGCAAGATTCTCAAATACAACACAAAGAACACCAACCCAATCACACTTGATGGAGAAACTCTGGAAGAGGTGGAAACATTCAAGTACCTGAGGAGCATCGGTGATGAACAAGGAGGATCTGATGCCAATATGAAGGCGAGGATTGAGAAAGTAAATGTAACATTTCTACAATTGAAGAACATATGGAACTCTCAACCAATTTCAAAGCGAGAATCTTCAATATGAACGTCAAAGCAGTCAGTTCTACTGTACGGAGCTGAAACGTGGAGAGCTACTACATCTATCGTCAAGAAGTTACAAGCATTTATAAACAGTTGTCTACACAAAATACTCAACATTCACTGGCCGGATACTATCAGCAACAGCGTTTTGTGGGAGAGGACAAACCAGCTTCCGGCTGAAGAGGAAATTAGGAAAAGATGTTGGAAGTGGATTAGACATACAGTAAGGAAATTACCAAACTGCATCACGAGGCAATCCCTAACTTGGAATCCGGAAGGGAAGCGGAAGAGAGGAAGGCCAAAGAACACATTACGCCGGGAAATTGGATCAGATATGATAACGAAGAATGTTAACTGGAAAGGATTGCCCAGAACAGGGTGGAATGGAGAATGCTGCTGAGCGGCCTATGCTCCTCCGCGATGGGGAGCAGGAGTAAGGAAGTAAGTAATTTACCATTCCGAATCTAATTGAGTGGTACATAAGCCACTACACGCAAAGACGTTCTTTAAACATATTAAGCTGTTTCAAGGAAAAAACAACTTCAATGAGTTATCTACTAGGACAAAATGTACTAGCGAATTTCTAGACATTTACTTAGTCAATAATTTTAAAAATACACCACTGTCAAATAATACAATACGATACCTTTACAAGAAATAATCGAAAATCTCACAGTTTGTTTTTTTAAGACTATTGTTCGATAATTTTGATGTTTGTTTATATTTGCTTGAAAAAACTTGGACCAGATTGCCAGGTGAAACGTTGGATTTACTTCAAATTCATTCGCTGAGATTTCACAATTATATTATTCCTCTTTAATACCTCACATCATCTCGACGCCCAAATATTGTGAAATTATATGGTCAAATTTGTTCGAAAGTTCTTATATATTAATATTCAATTTTAAAATAAGTTTAACAACAATCGAAAATGGGTGATTACACTGAATTTTTTATGTTTAACTAATTCGTAGTGCTAACCTGGTAAGTTGTTCTTTATAGTCGATTAATCAACTAATCATCAACAGTTTTCAAAGAGCAAACAACGACACTCTTCAATAAATATCAGAATTATTCGAGATGGAACAATTCTAAGAATACTAGTTTTAAACTTATAATATCATACTGCTAGAAATCTGTGTTACTAGTTAATACACATATATTTCGAAAATTCCTAGTGTGAATTAGAAGAACATATATAATCGAACAATATCGTTTTCAGTCAGATCCTCATCAGGTTTTAGTTTAATATACATTAATATTTATGGGCATATACGAAATTATTAAACCAATCAAGGCAGTTTGTGAGTCAGTGATAACAGTGTGATAGACTACATAAATCATGAATCGATCAAAGTTAGACGTTAACACCGTTGGATGCTGGCCAGCTTAGTAGTCTATAAGTTAAGTGTTCGTGCACGAAACCTAAGGTCCCAGTGATTGAATACCACGTGCTGGACCGTGACTGAGTACCGCTGAGGAGTTTCATACGGGGACTAAACGACCGCATAGTCTTTCCAGGTTTTCAATGGTGATCTAGCTTAGAATGAATCGTGAATTCAACTGTTAGAATACTACAATCTCCACAAATACTCATACTTACTTACTTACTTACGCCTGTTACTCCCAATGGAGCATAGGCCGCCGACCAGCTTTCTCCAACCCACTCTGTCCTGGACTTCCTTTTCTAGTTCTACCCAGTTCTTGTTTATTATTCTCATGTCTGTCTCAATTTCTCGGCTTGGGACCGGCTTGGGACCGGCTTGGGACTGGCAGTAACCCCCAGAGGAGCTACAGGCGGAGTTACAAATACTCGTACTGACACATAAATAAACACAAGTAAAAAGTACAAATAGAAAGGGCAATGACAGGTGTACTAGTTTTGATAAGAATAACAAAGTCTTGAATTACTTTTTCATGATGAAAAATAGGTCAATTACTCGAAATATATAGGTGCTCAAATAACATTCATAAAAACTAAACAATTACGTAATAAGAAGTTTTCAGATAATTGGGCATTGAGTGTATGTTTCAAAAAAGTGATGTGAAGAAAGATAAACCAACAGAGAGTATGGAAAATAATAATGATAATAATAATAATCTTTTATTAAAGATAATGCAGTTAAGGGAGAGATCAAAATGTTGCAAATTTCATATGAATACAAAGACTTGGATTGATAACTCGAATTCCTATAGCTTCTGCTATTTGTAAGAGACGAAATAGACACCCAGTAAGAATATGACAAATAACTTTCAATGACCATTCAACGATATCCTTTCCTAACCTTGATTGGTTTGATAATTCCGTATATTCATATAAATATAACTGTATACTAGAGTAAAGCCTGGTAGGGATTTATATATATATATATATATATATATATATATAAATGTTACATAATGGGAAATAGGTCAATGATTAGAAAAATATGGACACTGAAATAACATTCATAAAAATTATAAGATTATGCAATAATTTTCCATTATGTAACATTGATTCAAGCCTTTATTATATTTATCACAACTAGTACACCTGTCATCACACTATCAATTTGTACGTTTTACTTATTATGTTTAGTTATGTAATCCACTCCACTGTTATCATTAACTCATAAACTGCCTTGATTGGTTTAATAAAATCATGTATGCATATAAATATTACTGTATATTAGAGTAAGGCCTGATGAGGATTTAATCGAAAACAGTATTGTTCGCTTACATATGTTGTTCTAAACCACAATGTGGGAATTTTTTAAAATTAGAAGTTCCTGATTTATCTAATTAAAGGAAAAATAAGTTTTTATTGATACATATCTATTATAAATCAAAAAATAGATAGAGATCATGTCTTTATAAGCATTTCCTAATTTGATGGTATGAACGATCTAGAAATATTTTTCAATATAATAAGAAATTTCGAGAAGTACAAATAAGTAACGATATTTCCAAGTCAACAATGCACTAATGAATAAAACAAAGAAGAGGTGGGATTTTCAAAAGAAATTTAATATTACTTAAGGAAGTCACAAATCATTTACAATAAATTTATTTTTAAAATAACAAAACTGATCCAGGGAATATATAACAAGGTAGCAAACTGAAAGAGACAATGAAAGTACGATAGTTGAGGATTTTCTAACTAAGCCTAATATGTTACATGTTGAATTACAGTGAGAGTCAAAATACTTCGATAGTTATGTAAAAGTATTTATTGAAATCTAGTGTGTAAAACCAAAATATTGAGATGGTACTTAAAATGTTGACAAGAAATGGTCAAAATATGATTAGAATTTAATGAACATATAAATATTATCCTTCCTTAGTGTTGTCACAGGTTAACTAACCTAAACTTCACGCATGACTACTTTTCTGTCGTGAATAGTTAGTTCAAAAGTTCTATTTTGGATTTCCACGTCTGTTAGGCTTTTAAGAATAACATATTCCAAGTCTGCAGATGTATTGTTTTGGTCTTCGTGGACCAGCGTTACTGCAATAGATCAGAAAACACATTTTAAATATTGTACATATGGATAAACATATGATGAACATAAATTAATAATTCATATTTATAATCATCATTTAAAACATCTTTGTTGTGGGCGGCTATTCTATTTGAAATTTTCTTCTCATAAAAACCTTTGAAATGCTAGATGACAACAAGGTATTGAGTCAAAACTTATTGTTTGAGATAGAAGAGTTCACAATATATTTGGCTCATTATCTAACATTCCAACTGGATTTGAAATGTACACAATTATTTAATCAGAAATTATTGACATGTTCAATGATCATTTGTGTTCCAATATCTGGCGTTGGAAAACGTACATAGTACTATCACTACCTTTCTTGATGATTAACAAATGTTTCTTTTTCTGGGACAGTCAAAGTCTATTCATAGTTTCGGGTATGTTTTGCTAATAAGTGGCAAGATACGTTAAGCTTACTTTCATGAATCTTACTAACTGTGATACAATTAATGTTTGACATAAAGATGAAGGATGCTTCATATCCTATAAACATTTTACATACATGTCAAAAAATTTAGTACTACTTTAATGTAAGTACAAAACATTTGTAAATAAAGGTCAAAATTGTAGTCTGTACAGCTTTTCTAGCAGAAAACTCTTCCAATCCATATTGTTGTTCCATTCAGAGAGTGGGAAGTTGATGTAAATCGAAATCCAATGTTTTAAGAAACACTGTTTAGAAGATATCGTTCCGAAGTAGCTGATTTAGTATTGCCGTTGTTGCATTATTTTGACGAATTGTTTTGAATTAATATAATTTTAGCTCTTTATTGAGAACTGATATAGACTCTTACATCATTTGTTCTTTTTGTTGAAATCCATGAAGAAGTCGTTAACGGAAAACCTAAAATCAAACTGTGTAGGTTCAACTCGTACATAATACTTTATATTGGATCACAATTACTGATAATCATGATTAAAGTAGTATTCTACCATTGAAGGGTTGTATCGGGGGCCTACATGACACTGATAGAAATATTATACTTGTTGCTTTACACATATCTTTACTATAAGTGATAGTAACAATTTTATGTGTACTCTACTTCTTAACTGTTGTGTTTTACATAGTAATGTAAAACATGAATAATGCAGTCATTTAATGTAAGTTAACAAATCAATAAACAATTGATTTAAGCACAGACTCATAGTTGAAAATACTTTGAGGAAAATTTCTCTAAAATAAACATTACTGTTTAGTGAGTAGTACTTTCGAATGATTTCTTCCAAAATTAAACATCATTCGTTCAGTGATGTTTAGATGAATGAGTTGTTTAAGAAGACCAGTAACCCAGGTGGATGATTTGATGGAGTTTAGTTCTCTGAGATGGATGGTTTGGTCGTGGAGCTTTCATCTTTATTCTGAACGACACCATCAGCATGAAGTTCAGGTAGAAGTGAAGTGTTCGAATTTCTCCACATATGGTTCACAGATTGTCCTATAGACTTCGATGTTGATTGGTTGTTGTTGTTGTTCTTTAATATGTCATTGTGTACTTCTTTATTTTGAATGTATCTCCCATTGGTTTGATTCTTCGTCCTATATTTGTCCATAGTTTTTCTGATTGGTTGATAAATTGGATCGATTTCAATGTTGTTCACGTGCATTGATATAAATAAGGTTATGTCATAGCGTTTAACCACTAATTTATGTTCATGCAGGACATCCTCCTTGTCCGATGTGGTGTTTTCGCAGTTGGAACAATTTACTTCCTAGACGATGTTCAGCTTTCCTTCTTTTGTTATTTCATTCCTTTGGTTTGTAAAGGATTGGTTGCAGGGATTTAGTTCGTTTGTGTGCTACACCCATTCCGAAAGGCTTCAACAAACTTGCTGTAGTTTCTGATATACCTTTAATATATATGGTAGGACGATCCGTTTGTTGGTTCCTGTACTTGACTTTGTTTCTGATGATTTGTTTGGCTGGTATTTTCTGATGAAGTTAGTTGGGTAGCTGTTCTTTTGAAAAATAGTTTTCAAGTATTTCTCTTCATTTTTTTCGTGCTGCAAGTGTGTTTCAGTGTGTTCTCACCCTCTTGAGCAGAGCTTGTAAGCAGTTGATCTTGTGAGCTCTTGGGTTGTTGCTAATGTAATTGTGAATTTGATCTGCGTAGATGGGCTCCCGATATACTTGAGTTTCCAGTTTTCCCGTGTCGGTTCTGGTGGTTAATTCATCCAAGAATGGTAGTTTATTGTCCTATTCTTGTTCCATTGTGAATTTGATGTCACTGAAGACGTTGTTGATCGGATTGTAGATGTTTTCCAGTTCGTCCATTTTGACGATGATGTTCACATAACGAATCTAAACTTTTGGCTCGATCAATGGTAGGATCAAGGCTTCTAGTCTATGCATCACTGCTTCTACGATAAGTCCTGATATTGGCGATGTTGACGTCACTCGTATTGTAGTTTATTCCCTTTCGGAGTAGTTGTGCTTCTATTTTTGTTAGTGGTAGCCTTGACAAGTTGACTACGCAGCTGTTTGTGTTTTCTTCCGTGAGTGGTTTTAAAATATTGATCAGTTTCTTCTTTCGGGTGTTTCTTCTTTGTTCTCTGTGCCGTCTACATGATATCTTGATGGCTGTTGTCAAGGTTTCCAATTGTTCTGATGTATGTATCCTCTGACGTTTCCTCTTTTTGTCATCTACGACGTGCTGATATTTGTGGATCTTGTAGTATGCATCAGGTGTACTATTTTTCTTCCACTTTACTCAGCTATTCTCCATCCTATTGGCAGTTGATTGGAGGTCTGTATCGTACATTTGTTTGCAGAACACGCTAACGAAGACACTTGTGGAGAAAATACAGCTGTTCTTGAGTAGAAGCCTGCCTTCTGGCGAGATTTTCCCGTTTTCGAACAACGAGAAGCATACCGCACTAATATAATTTTAAAATGGTGGATGAATTCATCCGTCTATTAAACAAAGAATTCAATATGAAAACAATAGTTACTGAGATACAGTTAATTCAGCAGAATCCTGGATTACGAACACAATGAACTTCTAATATATAAGACTAACGTGTTAGTTTCCATTTCCTGTTTCTCTGTTCTTCAAATTCACAAGGACATTCTGTGTAATTTAAAAAGTATAACAAACTGATAAAATGACCTTAGTATTTAGAAAATACAGTAATTAAGTAAAATTTTGAAGTGTTTAAGAGACTTGCAGCGAATTGCATCACAAGAAATTTTTATCTGAGCACAATATTATTGACATTCAGCACTTCATAAAAGTAGCCAAACTTTATATCGATGAAAGTGTTTTTCAGTTTGATATTTAATTTGTAGTAGTATATGTTCCATTTTTATTCAAACCTGGTTCATAGAATTCAATGATGAAATTACACAAGCGTAGATATTCTGATCATTCTTATTCCTTTCAAACTTAATTATATCCATGAAATGTGCCAAAATATACTTTGAATTACACATGAATTACCACGTCATAAGGGTGGATTTCCAGGTTTTATCTTTATTTAGGGTACAAAATACCATTTTCGTGATAAGTTGACGCTAAAATCGAAGTTTATTCAATTTGTTTCCCAATTGCAATTACCTCACAACATCGCGAAACTTTTATCCATTTAATCTGTTAGTATTCTTCATCATCGGCCACTTGTTTAGTTTTTCAGATCATGACTTTCAGTTGTTGATAGCCTTAGGATGAAACTGTTGAAAACTCAGTAAGATGATGTACTATGTGAGGTCAACCTAATCGAATGTCAGAATTAACCAATGATGTTAGACAAGTGTAATATGGAGTGTATATATAAACTAATAAATGTTTTTTAAACATCATATATTCCAATACAATATATTCACCTAAGTTCACATACTTTTCTAATCATTACAAATCGATCTAATCATAGCTACCAGACAGATTTGAGGAACTTTACATTACTAGTTGCTTCAAATTCTAATACCTATCTCATTGAGTTTTATTGGAAATTGAATGAAGATAAAATAATAAACTGTTGAATATCAACCCGTTTACTGAATGAAGACAAGTGACAAATCACATTAGTGGATAATTGTTTCCATTTTTTCATCAAAGTATAAAGTATTTTGTTAGACACAGGAATGTTGTATTATCCAGAAAAAACTAATCAACTCAATAGTAACCAGTTTTATTTCAAAAGTTATTGTTGAGATGAAGTTTTCTGTCTTTTTCAATATATCTATGAATATCTGTCAACAAGTTTAATTTAAAAACTTATGAACAAGCTAATACTGATTAGAATTAATGATAACTACATAAGAGAACTGACTATATATATCAAGTATTAGTCAAGTGAAAGTTATTCAGTGTTTTTTCTCACTACGGAAATACTATTTGAAAATAGTCATAAACAGATATATTATACAAACCGGCCACATCATCAACATAATCTTATATCTCTATGACGCCGGCTCAGAATGAAACCAGATCCATATAATTATTTAAAACGAAAAACAGTTTACCTTTCGACCGTACAGATAGTGATGAAATTGATACTAGTTGACTGACTTCCGCGTAAATCTCATTTCTGTAAATTACTCTGACACCATATTCATAAGTACTACCCTCATGTATGTCGTATATTATATTGTTGAGATGCCATATTGACCGAATCATTTGAAGATAAGTCGTTCCGTTCCGTTTTTCATGTTGAATCATCATATAATGACTGAAACATTTTCTGAATTGACTAGATAAACCATTCCAACTTACTACATGAGCCATTGTTTTCGGTAGATGTTTTACCTGCAAACCGTCTACCACAAGTAAACCTAAAATGGTAAACATAAAACAAATAGAAATTTTCCTTCAGAATATCGTTATCTGTTAGTAAATGATTAGTTGTTGCTTCCATGTAGATAAGCATAGAGATATTCATTGATTAAACTGTCTATAAAGATGTAGATTTTGATTATAACTAAATATTACAGTAAATTCAATAATTAATTGATGAGACATCCAGGAAAGTAGTCAGTGTAACGGTACTTTCTTGAACTATTAATTAGGGCATAAATTACTCTGTTATTATGAATTCTCACTATTATAATACGAACATAGCATTGTATAGATCTCAATAAACGTATGCGAACCATAATCTACTGAATCAGTGACTTACGTCAACCTCGGATTGAAGAGTTTTGTGAACAACAGCGGTTCCGGACAAAAAAAACCTTTTCAGTATATTTATATACATTCATAAAAGACCTTACAGCAAAGCTTTAATAAGTCAATATAATCAGAATGTCACTATAAAGTGAACAAGTAAGTGCTAGAATTTAATAATTCAGTAAAAACATACAAATATAATGTATAACGTATAATATTATGTGACGCTTTTCCACATTTACGTGAATTGGGTTATTTGTTGGTAAGGATAAACGAAGCATGCATGAAATTATAAGAAGTATGTTCTCGAATGACTCTACGTATACTTAGTGTGGTTGGGCACAGTGCATAACTCCATACATAACTTAGTGGTCTTATCGAATAAAGCCCTCTACTTTAATTATGCATTATTTCAATAAAATTTTAATTGTTCTTTGTTAAGTCGGCTTACAGTAAACTCTATCAGAGCCTCCAGAGGCTCATAAAGAGCCCAACCAATCAGCGATTAGTTAGAAGCTATGCTACTAAAATAACGAGGTCCTGATTGGCTGTTTAACATACTGTTACTATGGAATCTCAAGGTCTTTTAATTACCATAAAACCCCTGTTTTTCTGTACATAAATGAACCTTGTAGTAAAGTACTTCTCTCATAGTCGTGTCTTCTTACTGGTGTTCAAGTCGCAGAGTAGTGCTAGCCTGGGGTTATCCGAATAGCTTAGGATCTGAATATAGCGTTCAACCTATAAGATATGGCATTCTTAATTTAAATTAAAATATTAATTCTACAATTACTTGTAACGTTCGAAATTATGTAATGTAAAACGACATAGCAAATTACTTTGTGGTCCTGGACAAATCATTTTTGGTATCTGATCTAAAATAAAGAAACGGAAGATAAAGAATGAAATGTAAACATTACTATTAACAAGTTGCAGTCGATCTGTGATAACGTTTAGTAGAACAATTGAAAATTACATTGGAATGTAAATGATCAGTCGTCCTAACAAACTTAAATAACGGTAATAATATATATTTATGGAATATATTTTAAGTGGTCTGTGTTTTTGTAACATTCCCAATAACACAAAAGTTTTAAACTACATACATGAGTTAAGCCGACTGAACACACAGTCATTAACATACCATCCTTGAAGAGCTCGAATAGTTACATGGTTAGAAGCCTTTTTTCTACGTTCAACTTCCACTATGAGCTTTCTTGAAGATTGTTTCGTGTTTGCATTGATCTTTAAGATTTCAGATTTGCTCCTGTATCAGAAATAATTTTCCATAAAACTACAACCTTTAACCATTTGAAATAGTTAGCGAGTTTAAAATTTGGACTCTGTTCGTCTATAATGATTTTGTCTGTTAATTAATGTGAGAAATAGGAAGTGAAGCCGCTACGAAATGAAAATCTACAGAAGCTTTATTATCTGTAAACAAATAAAAGATCTTATTAGGCTAACCAGGTTTATGCTGAATACATTTGTACTCCAGGACTAGATTCTTCCCTTTAGCAAAGACATAAGATAGTAATTTCAGTAATTTCAGAGTAATTTCAGGTTAATCATACGTACTTTTCAGAAAAATATTTGATTTATGCTTGTGATTGTCAAAGCATCGAACCAAATTGAAGTAATGTTGTTTTGACAAACTAGGTGGAATCAGTTAATTGGAAAGTTATGGTAGGAGGATTATTTAGGTTAATATATGCAAGCTTTACTGTGATATCAGAAGATTAGAGGATCACCAAGTGAGATTTAAATATGGATAAGTAAATACTTACAAGTTGAATAGTTCACAAAATTTTCAAAATTGTAGCTGTTATCTTGTAAAGACCTCACAGCTACTCCAAGTTTATACGTCTTGTTTAATTCTAGTAAGTCAAATTCATAATAGTTGTGTTGTGTCTCATATTCACATCTTTTGTCGTCAGTTTCACTGAAAGCTAGTATTTTGTGGGGGCACAAAATTCCCCCGTTTGTGTTCAGAGTCCAATTCAAGCGAATTGTTCTATTATTCATATTTGGTAGCAATTGAATACTTAAGTTTCGTGCAACAGGAAAGTATTCAGCTAGAATTATAAATGAATGAGACGGAAATAACAGTTAGTAAATATTTCAAAATGAGGGGTAAACACACATTCATACTGTGAATTTAAAATCAGCGGAGACAGGCTATGCGCTTTAGGAAACCACATTGTATTTGTCTTGAAATGTATGTAAATACTGTTAATTTTTTACACACACAATCCGATTGGAATGTATTCTTCAACTTATGAACCTGCATAAAATGAAAATACCACACTGTAGACAGCTGGTGATTTGACTATCATTTCATTAACAAGAAAGGACATTTAGTGACTCAAGGTCTGACTCCAATTAGATCGTATGAACAATTGCTATTGAATTATATATATATATATATATATATATATATATATATATATCGCCTATCCTCGTATACAGTTATCGACATAACTCGCGTTAGTGAATAACGGAACTTAAAAAGTCAAATACGAGAATGAATTTTGAATATATATGTCGCATACACTCAGTGATTTGAACGGGCAATGAGGGAGACAAAACAAATAGGAATGAATGAAGTAGATTGGAGAAGGCATGTATGCCAACTCGATTTAATCAAGCGTTAATCAATATTTATATCCAGATAAAAATAAGCTACGGATATGTGATGAGTAAGATACGATGTGCACAGTCAGAATAAATAAGCCAATAAGTTACAAGGTCAAAATGTGGTTGAAGAAGAATGAATAGATCGACCTGTCCGGAAGTTAGGATACACTATATGGGTTTAACATAGCACATGATATTACACTATCTCCCACAAACAGCTTGGTTTCCATAACTTTATCTGAAAGACACACAGAGATAAAATATATCATATTTTGAAAGTAGTATGTATACTTCCTTGTTTATTTAATGATATTCAGATATACGAACGTAATCTCAATTAGTAAACCACTTGTAACATTGATAATCTAAAGTTAATTGTATTTTTGGCTGTCCGTTATTTGAAATTAAATATCGAGTAACAGCCGTTCAGATTTTTTTCTATATAACGATCTGCCAAATTCGTTTCCACAATCTCGCAGTGATTGAACGACTAATTTCTACTAAAAGTGGAAGCTACTCTGAGAAATTTAGTAGTACAAAAGTGATTACGCTGTGTGTTACTTCATGAAACACTTTTTTAGTGAATTATGTTTCCAGCCAAAGTGTTAAGTCTTAACTCATAATGTGAACGAGTTTAAAGGGTTCAAGAAAACCAGAAATCATCTTTTCAAATAAAAGGAAATCAACGCTTGTTTTGTAATATCGTAATATACCCAGCATACAATAAGTTAATAATCAATGAATGAAATAAAATGAAGAAGTGTACGATATACTGTGCACTTGACTTACATATTAAGACGAATGGAGTAATTTCAGTTAGTGTAATTGGTTCCGATCCAAAAGCTTGATAACCATTCACTATTACTTTCGTAGGACAACTACTTAATGGAATGACAATGTCACTTAACAACGAGGTATTAGCTGTGAATCCTGTATCAGTTTTGACGACTAATCCATCTGGATTTACAAATGAGAAGTAATCATTCCGTGTTAAAATCAAATCACTTCCATTTATGTGAAAATCGAAGGGGGATAATGTCTTTGCTGCAGAGGTGATTTTAGCATTAAAAGGAGAAAATATGGTCAAATGAAATAACATGAACATTCCTTTAAAGCATTCATAGAAAATTTAAGTTATTGTTTATCCAGTCGTGTATTATTATATAAGCTTATTCTACAATTATTAAAGGAAATTATGTGTTTACAAAATAAATATTAGTAATAATATGATACTAAAAATGAACATTAGTGAGGATGAAATAATTAACTTTCTGTTCAGAAGGGGTTTTGTGGAGATTTCAGTATTTTCATAGTTGAAATCATGAATCAATTGAAGCTAGACTACCATGGAAAACCTGGAAGCACTGGATGGCCGTTTCATCCTATTGTGGGACTCCTCAGCAGTGCGCATCCACGATCCTGCCTCGTGAGATTCGAACTCAGGACCTACGAGTCTTGCGCCAGAGTGCTTAAACTCTAGACCACTGAGCCGGCATCCGATGGTGTTAATGTCTAATTTCAACCAATCCACGAAGTTAAGCAACCATTCACCAGTTGTCTTCAGTTAGTTGATATCTCAAAACAGACTTGGTTGAACTCCACTGGTTACTGCTTCTAACTAGAACTCTAAGAAATATCTTTTGAAGTCAGTCACTAGTGAGCATATGATTATAATCAGAAGGGATTTGTTATTGGAAATTCTACATATTAAGATTATCCTTCAGTAGTTTTTTTCCCATGTAATTTCATTGATTTAAGATACCCACTTACCTTGCAAAACAGTTTATCACTTTTAAGTATTATTTCCTACTACTTAATGATCAAGATACGAACAGTCAATGACAATTCATAAGACTAAATTCTTAATCAAATATTATCCCCATGCTTAGCTATTTGTTTATATGTCTAGATAAATAATATATGGTTAAAGACTTCAACAGCCATTAATTTGTATACTTAAATATAATAGATAACTATTGTAAATCAGAGAGCAATAGAAATTAGTTTTTATTTTCTATTTTGATGGTCGTAAACAATATGATAATGCACTAATATAAAATTGAGACCGGAGAAATGAAGTGTAAGATGGTGGAACATTCTTGACAGTAACAAACAAATTGTTATATGATAGCATGAAGAGTTTAATCACACATTTTTATTAAAAAAGTTATTGCAAGCAAATTCACAAAAAAAATTTCAATTTTAATGATTATTATCAATAATCATTATTATCAATAAGGATTGTAACATGTAATGATATTGCTAATCAGACAATTTGGGTGGATAAATTTATGAGGAAGTTTGATTTTGAAACATGCCTAATCGAATTGTGTACCTTGATTCTGGTCAAACAATTTCAATCGTTAATTCAGAAATATGGAAGAATGTCGAATCATGTGTCACATGTTTATAAAAAATTACTTAACTAATTCTAAATTTGAAGAAAAAACCTGAGAATAGTGTAAATGTTGTAGTACATTATAGAACTGAAATAAAATTTATGCTTGATAAAATAATTCGATAAAAAGATGTAATTTTCAAATACAACAGATGAAAAATTTAGAAAAAGTTGAAATACAAAGAATTCAGCTGTCCACATATATACAGACGACGTCTAAAATACCATTAGTTGAACACAAAGAGAGCAAAGCTGTTCCACAAAACACAAATCTGATGACGTAACAAGTGTTGTTTATAAAACTAGCGATATAAATAGTGCAGTAATCCAAACAATGGAACTAGCTATTCAACTTAGCAAAGTCTATGAAGAACTGACCAATCCATCAAGCTATATGATATAAAAGATAAATGAATGCCAACTTACAAAGTTACAAATTTCGGAAACTCATTATTTACAAAACAAATAATTAAACTGGTTCCCTAGAAATACACAGATTACTAAATAACAAAATGGAGGGAACTGACGACATATAGAAGTAATCTTATAATTCCACTACCATACTTATAAAACAGAAATAGCATGGAATCGATTTTAGAAATATGTAATACGCGGAGTAATATGATGAAATCAATGTAAAACATTTAACAGAAAACGACAGTTTTGCGTTTATTATATATTGAAGTAAAATTTTGATGGTTTTTAAAATGTTGAGTGAGGAACTCATCAATCTATCAAGCTAATAAAACTATGTAAACACAATTAAGTATTTTCAAAGTATTTCGATTTCAAGTACACGTATCTTGGTGGCCCTGATGTAAACTATTTAACAGAATTGTGACATTGACGATCACGTAGCAAATATTCTGTTTCTGTATAGAAAATAAAACTTGGAATAATGTAAATACATCACACTAGTCAATTCTACACAAATAGAAAGCGGATACAGGCAGTCCTGAACCATCATTAAATGTCGGTAGTGCTACTAATATGTATATGATAAACGGTCGAACAAACTAAATTATACAGAGAATTCATTCCATTTAATGGATCGACGTCAAAATTATTTGTTGACAGTTATTACAGTTATAACTTGCTTACCCGGAATGACCTGAATGGTGAGCAGGAGAGACACTAGAAACATGGAGACACATCTCATCATTTCCGTATCTTAATAATTACAAACACTAACCACATTAATTCAATTCATATTTATATAAATGTGGTGCAAAACATATGACCAATTTCGAAACAGAAAAAATGAAAGATATTTCGGATTTCTTACTTGTGTATATTGTCTTGTTGAATTAGTCCTTTTGTAATAAACAGACATCACGAAAGTAGTTTGATGTTTCACGTGCGTGTCGTGTCATTATGTAACAGTATTTATGAAATGAAACACAATACATTCACTTTTTAGTATCTCGACTAATTAAAATATAATCTGTCTGAAATAATTTGGAAGTCCACAGTCTCTAGATGACCGAATCGGATCTATGAGCTGATCAAAACAATGATTTTTACTCTAGGTTAAATCGAAACACTAGAAAATATCGAAATAATTTTCATAGATTTCATTATTAAAAGCACGTGTTATGAAAGCTGCCTTCATGATACAGACTACTTATCACAGTCTTAGGTAGTTGGTTTTAGTGTGATATGTGTTGACAACGGTAGGTGAAACTCTGATATTTCCTAACTAACGAGCAGCTATTGAAAAATACCTACTTATATTAAGACTGAGATAAGTCGATAGTCAGCAAGCTGAAGCCAGGTCAATATATTTGTTATTTAATATTTTGGAATCTGAACAAGTTTACAAAAAAAGATTTATCGAGAACCTGAGAACAAAGATGAAGAAGAGAAATAATGCTTTTAAAAACGACTTCCAACTTAGCAAACAAGTGCTAGAATCAAGTGAATCTAACACGTCGAACAAGCCTCTTCTGAATACTAAGACCAGGCTTAAAATGCTTAGACGCTTATCCTGGAGCCATTCGTACTTTTTCTCTCTAATTTTCCTTTGAACCAGATTATTTAAGCCGGTGGTTGTAAAAGATTTTTATTTAAACATCGTCAAAGAAGAATTGATAACAACAACAAAGCAATAAGTGTCATCACATAATGTCTGAGCTGTTATGAAATCTTTGTAAACTTGTTCAGATTCCAAAATATTAAATAACAAATATATTGACCTGGCTTCAGCTTGCTGACTATCGACTTATCTCAGTCTTAATATAAGTAGGTATTTTTCAATAGCTGCTCGTTAGTTAGGAAATATCAGAGTTTCACCTACCGTTGTCAACACATATCACACTAAAACCAACTACCTAAGACTGTGATAAGTAGTCTGTATCATGAAGGCAGCTTTCATAACACGTGCTTTTAATAATGAAATCTATGAAAATTATTTCGATATTTTCTAGTGTTTCGATTTAACCTAGAGTAAAAATCATTGTTTTGATCAGCTCATAGATCCGATTCGGTCATCTAGAGACTGTGGACTTCCAAATTATTTCAGACAGATTATATTTTAATTAGTCGAGATACTAAAAAGTGAATGTATTGTGTTTCATTTCATAAATACTGTTACATAATGACACGACACGCACGTGAAACATCAAACTACTTTCGTGATGTCTGTTTATTACAAAAGGACTAATTCAACAAGACAATATACACAAGTAAGAAATCCGAAATATCTTTCATTTTTTCTGTTTCGAAATTGGTCATATGTTTTGCACCACATTTATATAAATATGAATTGAATTAATGTGGTTAGTGTTTGTAATTATTAAGATACGGAAATGATGAGATGTGTCTCCATGTTTCTAGTGTCTCTCCTGCTCACCATTCAGGTCATTCCGGGTAAGCAAGTTATAACTGTAATAACTGTCAACAAATAATTTTGACGTCGATCCATTAAATGGAATGAATTCTCTGTATAATTTAGTTTGTTCGACCGTTTATCATATACATATTAGTAGCACTACCGACATTTAATGATGGTTCAGGACTGCCTGTATCCGCTTTCTATTTGTGTAGAATTGACTAGTGTGATGTATTTACATTATTCCAAGTTTTATTTTCTATACAGAAACAGAATATTTGCTACGTGATCGTCAATGTCACAATTCTGTTAAATAGTTTACATCAGGGCCACCAAGATACGTGTACTTGAAATCGAAATACTTTGAAAATACTTAATTGTGTTTACATAGTTTTATTAGCTTGATAGATTGATGAGTTCCTCACTCAACATTTTAAAAACCATCAAAATTTTACTTCAATATATAATAAACGCAAAACTGTCGTTTTCTGTTAAATGTTTTACATTGATTTCATCATATTACTCCGCGTATTACATATTTCTAAAATCGATTCCATGCTATTTCTGTTTTATAAGTATGGTAGTGGAATTATAAGATTACTTCTATATGTCGTCAGTTCCCTCCATTTTGTTATTTAGTAATCTGTGTATTTCTAGGGAACCAGTTTAATTATTTGTTTTGTAAATAATGAGTTTCCGAAATTTGTAACTTTGTAAGTTGGCATTCATTTATCTTTTATGTCATTTAGCTTCGTTTCCAACGTATGCTTTTAAGAAACTTTTAATTTGTATTCAACAAATCACATTTTAATCACCAAAACAGTATCACGCAAATTGTATTGTTTCAATTGAAAGAAGCATTTTTTCATAGCTTTGA